TCCATTTCGTCGTCGTCGTCCAATATTTTTGGCACCCATCTCACCAATTGTACCATTTCTTTTCCTCTTCTTTTTCTTCATTACCTCATCACCATTCATCCGTTGCCACTTTTTCACTTCATTCGTTTCCTTCCCTGTTCCTCTTCAAACTGCGTACCACTGCGTCTCTCTTTATTAACAACGAAATGAAGTTTGCCTTGGAGCCATTTCATCTCCTTCCAAGTTTTGTCTGATCTCTGCCAAAAGAACAAAAATCTAAGGGAGGAACCGTTTCTTACTTTTGAACATTTAGACTCGAGATTGAAACATGCAAATTAAAAACTAATCAACAAAGTCATAGAGCACGTTTGTTTGCTTTGTTCACTCTATGGCTCCATTCTTACTTGTAATTAATTTGTATTTTATTCAAAATAATGTAAGAAAAAAAAAAAGAGATGCTCTTTGATTTTCTTCCTTTTGATTTTGCCTTTACAATTCTACAGTTTTCTGCTTTGTCAAACTTCAGGCTTCTCAGTGAGTATCCCCAAGGCTCAGATATGCTCTAAAAGGCAGTGTCCTGCTGAGACGGGTGGGCTGTCTGCTCCCATATCATCAATGCAGAAGAAAGGCGATGAAGAGCAGGGATGATGAAGCAAGAAAAAGAGACAAAAAAGGGAAGAAAGGCCTGGGATGCCTTTAGCGAGTCTCATCACTCAGCTAAATGCCCTCTCTTGTTCCTCCTCTCACTTTCTATTTTCACCTCGCTGAGGGAATAAAAACCCGAGAGCCTGCTTCATTTCACTCCAAATGTTTTCCAAGAATCTGGAACCCTGGAATTTGTTCCTCGGCCCCTGCGGCAGCCCCGTTTCTCAGCGTCTGTGCAGATGGGTGTGAAGGAACAAGCGGCGCTGAGGCGGGCTGCTGCTGGTGGTTGGCGAAGGAAAGCTGCTGGATTTGCTGAGCGAGAAACAAGACAGGCTGAGCTTCACAGGGTGGAAAGGAGAGAACAAGGAGAACATGAAGCATGCTACTGGAATAGCTGGAACTATTGTTGTTTGGTGGAATAGTTTGTGCAGCAATGATGAATGATGGGCCTCCCCATATATTATAATACGAAACCAGAGCCAGCCCAAGACACATGCGACCTAAGCAGGCTGCTTATGGCCTCCATGCCACAAGGGGGCACCCAAGAGCACCAAACTAGTATGATAAAAGTATATATATGTATATATATTTAATACAACATTGAACAATAAATATTATACATTAAACTATTTCTATTAATTTTATAGTTGTTGCACAAATAATGGTTTATCTCTTCCTGTTTGCAGTTGGCCATTGTTGGAGAAATGTAAGATATTACATTTGTAAACTTATTTACTGTAAATGTATTGTCCATCAGTTGGTGTTTCTTTCAAATAGTTGAAATAATATGAAATAATAATAATATATAATATATGAAATAATAATAATATATAAATGAATACCACTCTGGGCAAGGGGTGGGCTATATGGACTTTTATCACAATATTTGACAGTACTACTCTAATAACGATAAAAGTGAGAACTTTTTACCACCATTTTTAGATTTTTTTTTTTTACAATTAATTGGACTTTATTGTGACAATGAAATCAACATTTTTATAAAAATGTATAAAAATCCTGAAAAATCACATACGGTATCTTTCTAGTAAAAGATAATATCTGTAAATTCCCTATGTAATGCTATGGGCAGGCCCCAAATACATAGTTGTCAGTATGTGGTTGATTGTGACACACTGCTTCAGTTTAAGGTATAGTATATGGCTGAAAATGATTAGCTTTTTTTGTTTTAAATATGTTAAATACAGTCAAACTGGTGGTGTGACCTTCTCGGTTTTATCCAGTTTCCTACCGAGTTGTATTCATTTTCTCCTTTCATTTGTTTTGTTTTATTTTTAAGAAGCTATGAGGCACGTTGGCAAAACCTTAAACTGCTGCTGCACAAGTTACTCAGCAGGTTGTTGCTAGGTAACCACAACTTACTCAAAGGTTGTTGCTAGGTAACCAAAGAGTGAGCAGAGCAGCTAATGCTTTCCTCTGCCGACAGCCCCCAGAATGCTGTGCGTTTCTGGATCAAAGTTCAGTGAAAATGCTATTGGATGCATTATTGATTGATTACGTGTCGACAGTGATTATTGATTTATCACTGTCGACAGATTAAATACCTCATTTCACAACTACCCTCAGTAAAAGACCTAACAAAGGTTGGAAGCACTAACCTATACAGGAGCACCTCAGTAAATTCAAGTATCTTTGAAAATGTTATTTTCACAAGGCTAAGCACTGTGAAAAGAGTCATAAATTGTGTTTTCTTCATTAGGTTGATGAGTCAAAGTAAACCAACTAAAAACCAAGTTTTAGTTGGTTTAAAATGTAGTAACAAAAGCGCTGCAGTAAAACTGAAAACTTTAGTAATTGCATCTGATGGACCACACAAAGAGAAGCATTGTCCTGGAAAAACAGAAAACTAAATGAACAGGAGCTGCTTGATTCACTGGGAACATCATCTGCTTTGTTGCCACTGATTTCAACTTTGGCAGCTCAGCTATTTACCTGTGTGAGGCTTTTAGTTTGGCTATACATGAATTAAAAAAGGCTCATCAAAAGATTTAATTAACATAATGGATTACCACTGCTGTTATACGTGCATAAATTGTAAACAGAGCCTCTGCATATTTTGAGGCTGAATTGATCCTTGCTGCCTTTGATTAATGCTACAAAGTCACAAAAGAGGCATCTGTATTCTGAACATCGACGGCACAAAAGTATATTTATGACAAAAAATAAACACAGTGAGGTAGCAAATAAAATCTGTCACTCTCAAATATTTAGCTTATTTTGTTGAGATATGAGGAAAAGGTCACAGTATCTCAGCAGAGATGACTAACCTAGACTAATGGGTTCAAGACAATTAAATAAGGAAGCACAACAAACATCTAATTCATTAATTAGACATTTTGTTGCCTTCTTAGGCCCGTTTAAAACACACGTGCAACACCACTTCATAACCAACACAACTGATATGGGGTCATAGCAATGACCCCATATCACCATTATTTAATCTCACAATATCCTATGATAAATGGACCGATCAATATTCCCTCCCCTCGGCATGCTGGATGCTGGAAACCGAAACTAGCTTCATTTGCATAGATCTTAAAATTGTTGCGCATATTGGAATTATGAAAATGATTTTACCTAATGGAGACATCATTCAAAAGTGTTGAACCCATTGCTCTTCTGCAATCACGGACAACAATTAGACCTGTCACAATAAACCAACTAATCAATTTCAATCATTTCCATCATTTATCATTTTTCTTTTTTCTCTCTCTCTGTACCAAAGTTTGATCTTCAGTTTGATGCTTTGGTCTCAACTAGTCCTTTTTTTAAGGACTATTTTGACAGAGAAGTCATCATTTTATTTGTTGTTTCTGCTTTATTTGTTTATTTTGGATATTTAAAATATCTTCCAGTTCCAGTGCTAAATATTAATTAGAATTTAAGGTTTATTTATCTTTGAGCATTGTATTACTTGAAAATGGTCTCAACAACAATATTATCGTTTATTGCAATAACTTCTGGGGAAATTTATCGTTCAGCAAAATTTGTTATGGCAGGCATAACTAGTTTATTTGTAGTCATTCCTAATTACAAGTCGCTTGTCGTTACAATGCCTCAATAAGACGCTAATGTTAACTGATGGTTGATGATGAGAGCTATTGCCGTGGCTGAAATATGATTATGTTTACATCCATAATTTTACTGATTTATTCCATAAGCAAACTTCTTCAAGTATGATTGTAATTACATTTATTTAATGGAAACGCCACGATTGCGAAGTTGTGTTTCTCAGACGTTAGCAGAATATCAAGAAAGGTTTTGCTACCGACAGCTTGACGTACTTTCAGATTCTTTTGGTTAATAACTAGCTGACCTAGTGGTGACACAACACAATAAGATTTCTGTCTTAGTCGACTGACAAATATATAAATATGTCCAGTGTTTAAAGCAAGCTGCTTCCAGTTCCTGCCGTTATCCAGCAACTTCACACGGCTGTTGGACAGATCTGGACCAAAAACCGCCAATCAATTTCATGAACGCTAACAGGTGGGTTGCACTGAGTGAGTGGTAATCAAACCAGATACCAACTGGTTCTCTGATCCCCCAATAAAGGAAAACTGCTAATTTCACAATGACCTTTTATTGTCACACACCTGTGCAACAATCAGGCCATCTAATCAGCATCTTTCCATGGCACACCTGTGAGGTGGGATGGATTATCTCGGCAAAGAAAAAGTGCTCACCAACACAGATGTGTGAACAATATTTGAGAGAAAATAGGTCTACTGTGTGTAGAGAAAAAGGTTTGGATGTTTGAGTTCAGCTCATGACAAAATGGGAGCAAAAACAAAAGTGGTGCGCTTACATTTCAGCTCGGCGTCTACAGCCTTGGACCTCTTGCACACTCATGAATACATTAGCTGCATCTGTTACGTCTATCTGGAACAACCATCTGGAACAACCTTGCGGCGTATCTCAGCAGATATCAGCATATTCAGGTACTATCTCTGCTTGCGACATGAGAAACCGACAAGTTCAGAGTCAGCAGAGTTGGGACCTGCAGCTACAGGAGCTCATCACGAGTAAAAGTAAATCTATATGGAGACGTAACTAACAACAAGCCATCGTCATCTGGACTCCGTGGCTTGTGAGCAGAGCAGCTGAGGAAAATGTTTCTGCAAGACTCTTTTGTTGCATAATCATTTTCTGATTCATCATTTCCTCCAGGCTTTGAAATATGCAGCGATTGCCATGGCGACAGATGGCTCGTGAATAATGAATGATTGGTATATTTATTAGAATGTTTGTTATTGGATATTTTTCCACCTAGAAGAAACTAGGTTCTCAGCAACGGCAGCAGGGTGTGTAATGCAGGTAGACGTCTCAATGTGATATCTGGATGCTGAAAAGTTTACCTTGTGTGAGGAGCTGGAGCGTCCTGACTTCCTCGCGGACACGAAGCTGCAGGACTTGCTGCAGGATGTGCTGCCTCTGGGCTTCGTGGATAATCCCCATTCGCTCCAGCTTTCTGTCTGTTAGTCTCATGAGGGCCCGTCCTGAAAATAGACGAGCGAAAAAAAAAATTAAAAAACATAAAACACAAGGCTTAAGGATCCAAGCCAGAGGGAGTTTAGCAAACACCGCTTCAGATGTAAAATGAAGTATTTACGTCCGCCGAAGAGGAAACTCACAAGGTGCTGCGGGTGAATTAAACACAAATTGGACTTTATAAGGGTAGATTAATAAAAACAGACGTCTCTTCACCGTCGTGCGGCCATCAGTCTGAATTGTCCAATTAAGCTCAGCAGAACCATATGTGAAGCAGATCCTTCTTTGCATAAATATCAGAACAGTACATCCCTGGAGCAAGAATCCCCAACAGCTCTTTAGTTAATTGCAAATCCTTGTATTAAATACATAATTTAATCATCCAATCGGCTTCTATGAAGAGGACTTGGGCTACTAATAAAAAGTCTTGTAGAATATTGTGTGATTATTAGTCCTTGTTATGAGTGTTTTCGCAACATGGCGAATGGTAAGCAGATAGGATAATATAGGGTAATTACTAAACAAAATACTCGTTTTGCTCTTGTGGCCCCGACGGCTGCTTTGACAAGATGCTGCCACCAATTAGCGCCACGGCTGGTTGGAGAAAAGTCCTTAAAATCGCCAGGAAGTTAAAGCGATTGCTCAGTTCATGAACTGGAAATCTGTGTAGTTGTTAATGGTTTTCAGGTTTTCATCTCAGCTTAAAGAAACAAGTTCTTGCTGAAAAAATGTGCTAATGGGGTCCAGGGTCTTAAACCTTAGTTTCTACTGAAGCACTGAACAATGCAAGACTTTTATCTAGAATCTGAAAAACAACAATTTCTTATTCACTTTGCAAATATTCAATCAGAACTTGCACAAACGTCCAACTGAAAGTTAGGAAGTGGAGTTAAAGTTTTCTCATGACATTTTGTGGTACAATTAATTACTTCTTTGTTTAGGTAGCTGTATAGCATAGACATAATATAAGAGTAGACCCCGCATTGGTCGCTCCGGCGCAGGAAATACGGCGGCCA